AGGAAGAACACCATTATGTTTGACGACATTGGAAGAAACTTTCTTATGAACCCACAGAATGGACTTAAGGTTGGTTAGTTCATACAATTATCTTGACCATTTTTCTCTTCTTTTGGTACAATTAACTACAGATCTTAATGAAACTTTTTCTTTATTTGTTGTTGTGAATTTGTGTTAGATCCGACCCTTCATGAAGGCCCACCTCAACAGGGAGCGGGACAGAGAGCTGTATAAACTGTCTCAATACCTCAAAGAAATCGCCAAGCTTGACGACTTCAGTGGACTCAACCACAAACACTGGGAGAGGTATGCACTCCTTGAACAGCTAAACAGTATCATTTACATAGTTGTAGTTGCATACTTCAAACCTACAGCACATGCTAGACCTGAACAGCCATTTACAAAAAAATACTAGATATATTAAAAAAATAACATCTAATGCCAACACACACATGAATCTTACTTAAATTTTTACTTCATTTCAGATTATTTAAAGTATAAAATTCATCCTAAAAAATGCATCCAATTCTGGGGATAAATGAACACAATCTAAAGTAAGAAGGAGACTTGTGCATCCCAAGCAAAGAGAGTAACTGTGGTACTCAATGAGGAACTCACCAGTGGCAAGAAATTTGTGAAACAGTGTTGAGGTGTGCAGTAGGAATTACAGATGAGTTTAGGGTCGGGGTAGAGTTACATCAGGGATCAGTGTTGAGCTCTTTCTTATTTACAGTTGTGATGGAAAGGCTAAAAGGTGAGATCTCAGTGCAAATTTCTCCTTTGCACTTTGTTGTGTCCATTCTTAGCTTTATTTTTGCTATCTGTGATGTCGTAGGACTGTACATGGTTGATTATTTAATCGACTGTCCAACTTATGATATAATTTGTTTGTGCTGTACATGGTAGAGATGGCACGATACCACTTTTTAATGTCTGATACCGATTCCGATATCATAAATTTGGATATCTGCCGATACCGATATGAATCTGATATAGCGTATTTTGTAATCAATAAAACTGTGTTTTTTATATAAATATCTTGCTGCATTTTGTATAAGTTCATACTCAAGTTTTAAAAAACAAGAGACTGAAGCTATTCTGTTATACCTGTATGCAAAAAATGCACTCCACCCAAAACATTTTATAGTTCAGCAACACTGATCAATCTAATAAATTTAAACCTACACCATCCTCCCTATTCTGGTATTTTAAAGAGTACTTAGTGGAAATATTAAGCAACCTAACTAATAGGGTTGCCAACTCCCAGCAAAAATATTCGGGAACCACCCCCCGCCCTTAATCGATGTAATCAACTTTAATTTAATGCAAGTGTAAAACAAATGCACAGAAATCAATTATTTTTCTACAATATTTAAATAGATTCAACATCTTTCTTCAACAGAATTGCAGACTTCACAGATGGTATCTTCCCAAAGGAAAAAGTACTATAGCTTATTAGGGTGTATATTAGACTTATTAGTTACTATATACAATAATGGATTTCTATACATTTAATCAGATGACCACTTTTGTTGTAAGATTCAGATAATTATTTATTCAAAGTTTTTAAATGACATAACAAAGAAAA